TTCTTCCCCTTGGTGTGGGGGTCTGTAGCAGACCCCTACCACCAAATCCCTTTCTCCTTGCCCCCCATGTAGCCTAACCCACAATCCTTCTACTTCCTCATCCTTGGATTCCGTGTTGATGAGGGTTGACGTATATTGCTCATTGACATAGAGCGCAACCCCTCCCCCTTTTTTCCCCACCCTGTCCTTTCTGTACAATCTATAACCCTCAATATGTACCGCCCAGTCGTGAGATGAATCCCACCAGGTTTCCGTTAGCCCCACTAAGTCGTAGGTGTTTTGTGCAAGCAGGAGCGCTAGTTCATCCTGCTTGTTTCCCATGCTCCTAGCATTAGTATATAGGCACTTGAGTCCTGCGACAGGTGCCTTTGCTGTCCCCCCGCTCCGAGTCCCAAGGGGCCCCTTATTTCTTACCTTCTCGATTTATACTTTCCCGATTTATACTTATTTTCAGATAGTTCCCTTAGTTATCACTGATAAATATAAACTATAACCCTTTCACTTTCCTTAGAATGCCTGTTATTATACCTCAGTCTCTTATTTTACACTGAGACAATTCCTCATAATTTAAATATATTACACTGGGTATCATTTTGGTGCCCTATGCTGCTTTTTCTCCAGGACTGTAAATCATGTTACAGTGGCCTTATTAATACAGACAATATTCCTGATGTGGTCTTACAACTTACTAATGCAGTATTTGTTGTCTCCATCTCCCCTCCCCACCATCATACTCTCTGCTAATATTCTCTGGAGTACTGTGTCCGGTTTTGGGCACTGCACTTCAAGAGGGACATGGAGAATCTGGAGAAGGTTCAAACAAGGGCCACTTGCATGATTAGTGGCCTCCATGAAAGACCCTACAAGGGGAGGTTGAGAGATCTGGATCTCTTCAGTCCTCACAAGAGACATCTGTAAGTTGTAGCCGTCTATAAGGTTATCAAGGGAGACAACAGGGAACTGGTGATGCACCATTTATCACGGCACCCCAGGGAGTAACTAGGAATTAATGGGTGCAAACTAGTGGAGAGTAGATTTAGGTTAGACATTAGGAAGAATATTTTTACAGTAAGGGTGGCCAGAACCTGGAATGGGCTTCCAAGAGAGATAATACTATCACCTAACTTGGAGGTCTTCAAGAGGAGGCTTGATAGTAACCTGGCTGGGGTCATCTGACCTCTGTCCTCTTTCCTGCCAGGGGCAGGGGGTCAGACACGATGATCCATTGTGGTCCCTTCCAACTCTACAATCTATGAATCTATTAATCGAATAACCCAGTACAGTTTTTTTGTCACTTTAAGAACAAACTGTGCCCAACTTCTCTGAAATCTCATTATGACACTGTTAAAGGTATTTCTTGCTCAAAATTTGAAGATAGGTCCAAATTACATTTCTGAAGCTTCAAATCAAAGCAGTTTAATTTGATATAACCATACCTATATATAAGCATATAAAGTATATGTAAAATTAACTAATATATTTTATCAGTGCTGATTTCAGTCCAAATCTCTTAGGCAAAGGCAGATAAACCCTAGAACTATAAGAGATATAATGGAAACAAAGTTCAGCAGTGGCCAATTCGTTCAGATGCAAACTGCCCACCTGCCCCCTCCCTCACCCAAATCAGAACCACTCTACTTAGAATTTGAGAGACTGGGGAAAAACACCGACAATTATTGTATCTCATGACTTGACAATTGAACAAAAACAAAATAAATGTAAGGCTTAAAGATCACACAGCATAACTTATAGTTATTTTATCTTCTCAATTATAATGAACTATAATTATTTCTAATTCTACGAAATTTACAACTTACTGTGCTGTAATAGGTTTTGTAAAAGTAATGAAACCTTTGTAATCTGAAAACTCATTACAGCACTGGATATTAATCTTCATCAAGAAATGTAGAGTTCACCAGTCTTGTGATAGTTTAGCAAAGTGTAAATTATTAAGGTTCTATTACACTTAAGGAACTTCAAAACTCTACCTGTTGTAGTTTTGAAATTGAGCATTATATTTATATTTGAAATCTTTAATGATGTTTTAATGTTAGAGACAGTACAGATAAAGCAGAAACTCTAAAAGAACTGGAGCACAGGCATCAATAAGAAATAAAATACCATACTACATTGAGGAGAGTTAACACCTGAAGTTATTCTGAAAGTGTCACATGGACACATAACTCACATGTAATGATTTAATGCATCAAGGAATACTGCAACAAAGCATTCTGGAGTCAGAAAAAAAACCCAAATTGTCTTTTGCATATTTTCCAACTGTCCAGCTTTTTCTCCTCTAATAATAATATGTTGTATGTGCTATGTTATCATATCTTTTTCTAGTCACTTTGATCATCTCTCTGATGTTGATAATGAAATATGAAGAAAAACTAGTAAATGAGGGAAGGGAAATTAAAGCACAGACTCGTCTTTTTAAAGCAATAGAGTGTTTCACTAAACAATGAAAATACAAACTAACACCATAAGACATGCTATTTGAAGAGCTGAATGGACTGAGGAACATACACCATTTGCTGTTATAGACGTTCACAAAACAAATCACATACATAAACTGGACATATAAGCTTAGCCTGCAGACATTATATGTCCATCAAAAATTATTAAATATATGACATTTATGTTTCAAGACTAGTAAAGACCTCTGACAAATAAGCTGAAAGTTCAATAAACTGGTTAAAAATCATAAAGAAAATTTAAAAAATTTCAAGTAAGTGTTAATTACAAAATGCAAAAGCAGCTACTCTTTGATTTCACAACAGATTGCATAAAAACAGGATTCTGTTACTATATCCAAATCTTTCAACAGTGCTCAAAACCAGCCTTAGGACTGACAGCATTGGGCACTGCACCCATGCCCCAGGCAGACAGCTAGAATGCATTCAAGGAGTTTATACTTAAGAGTACTGCAGTGATGTGAAGTCCAGTTTCCAACATAATATTTCAATTATCCACCACATTTCACATAAATCTGGACTTCATCCTTTTGATACATTTTGTAGGATATCATAATATTTTCTTATGTCTAGTTAATCTGTTATGGGTCCTCTGAAAAACTGATTGATTCAGTGCTTAAAACAAACTCAAAAATATCAACTTCTACAAAATATTCAATGAGCCAGATTACAGGTATATTTTGTATATAGTTCTTTTTATTTTCATGCAAAAATATATGCACACTTAGTAAACACCCTTTTATTCTGATTTATTTACAAGATTTAAATTCAATCCGTTTATTCTTGATTGATTTTATAACAATTACTAAATATTTTTCAAGTACATTTATGTTCAAAATGCACAGACAATGTGCAGCAGCAAATGTAGCAAACCTCAAAAACAAGGTGCTACAATGCTGCTTCTACATCAAGAGACAGACACAAGTGTCTGGGATAGTGGTTTAATTTTAACACTTATACAGACATACATCTATACCTAGAGAGAGACAGACAGATCTAAGAAAGCAGCTACATCTGCAGAGGAAGGAAACAGCATGTTACAAGGACAATTCAGGGAGGTCAATTATACATAAAACATTTGACAAACAACATGGAGAACAAATTTTGGCATTAATTACCAGGGTACAAAACACAGCACATTTCAATTTACCAGTGAAGTGCCAAATAGAGCTCTGCAGCCTGTAGCTGTTTGTTAATACTAACATCAAAAAGTATTCAGCATCTGCCAATTAAAAGTACTAACATGTCTGTAACAAACATGTTTAAATAAAAAGTGGACAAGATGCAAAATTACATTGCACTTTCTGTATCTGTAATGTAATGTAATAACCTAATGACTAGATTCCGTAATCTGCTCTAGAAGGTCACCCCACATCTGAGATACTCCTGCCACTAGAAAAATTCTAAACTAAGGAAGCTCAAAGACTGACAATTGTGGTCTAACACTGCTAAAATCATTTGCTTTTAGTTTTATACCCTGGTTAGGTATCCATTTCACATTGCCTGATTAACACATAATACTATGCTTGTATCAGCCGCTAAGACATGAACTGAAAAGCATAAGAAATTCCCTGCATGCATTATGTGTAGTGTTAGCAAAAGAGTGAGATGTGCCCCAGTCCATCTGAGGCACAGCTAGTTGCATAACATCATTACCACTTTGCAGGGTCTGTCGTCCTCCAGCCAACACTCCACTAGGTAACATGCCAGTGGGAGTCAAACCCTTGAGTGTCAGCACACTTTCACTCTCCTCCCTATGATTGAAGGAAAAAAAATGCTAGTTTCTTAATTATTTCAATAAACTTAAAGTAAAATAAGTGGATTTCTTTTTGCTATGTGCCATAGTTAATCGAATATAAGACAAGATTCCCGCCCCCCAATCAGCATAAAGGAAAAAGGCTCCTCATCTTACATCCACATACAAAAAACCCCACATTAAATACATATAATTAAACTGCTGCTAAATGCAGCATGTGCTCCTGGAAACCAACTATGAAGTTGATTAAATGATGAGGTTGATTAAATACAGCCAATACTGAGCACTGAGCATGACTATAAAACACATGGTCCATATTGGGCAAACATACTGATGGGAACCTACCACCACAAGGGCAGGTTTAGTGCAGCCCATTAGAATAAGAAATATGGTAGTGCCCATTACACACAGTCCCCCTCAGTGCTGACTCTCTTTAAAGTCAAGGGCTCTACACTGACTACATTTCAACTTCTTTTTCATTCCTACAGCTGAGTTGTGCCTTTCTTTCTTGTTCCCAATTATTCCTGTTCCTTCACCAGCCTTAAGTGTCTGTCAAATATCACCAAACAGGACTCCAGACAGTTCAACCAGAATCCCTCTGTCACCCACTCTTGGCTTGTCACATACGATTAGCGTGGCCTTGCATTCCATGAGATAGAGCCAGACTTAGGCCTCAAATGTATATACATTTTTGGAGGATCCCAGGACTCATGACAAGAACACCCAGTTCCAGTCACAAGTGGGGAGCTAATTAGCACATGGACCCTTTGTGAGGTGTCTGAAGTACACACACACATGGAGCATGTTGAACTGTGGAGTCACCATGGCTTGAAATCCTGTTGACTCTGCTGGGGCCCAGCCCAACAAACCATATGGTAAATAATGAACCTTTTGGCTTTGGACTAATATCATGCATAGTTTGTGTGATATAAGTAGGGAAAAAAAAGTGCTGCTTAGAAGTGTAGTTATGATACACCTATGCTAAAACTGGCAGCAGTTCAAAATAAAAGTAAAATGCATTAATTCTGGGTGAACTAAGCCTATGGGTAGCCAGAGTAATTTATTACAAGCATGTTTATTTCAAAGTCAGTGTTTTCAAGGGGGGGGGGAGAGGCAGAGAGCAAGGGGGCAACCTGACCCCAAACAGATTTATTTTCCCTGCTGTAGCAGTGGGAAGGGGACAAAGTCAAGGCAGACCTCCAATAATTAGATTCTGTATCTGGAATATTATATCAAATTTATAAATGTCCCATATATAGAATCCAATTATGGAAGGGTCATCTTACATCAGGGTTGTCTTCTATTCAAGTAAATAGTATTACCTATGGCAAGATTTAACATGGATCAAACTTCAAAACACTAACAAGCGAGAGGAAATTGCCTATTCTGTACCCAGCTTCTAGAGTAGTGATTTTCAACCTCTTCAGACTCAAGGCATCTCTTGTTAGACTGGAGGCTTCCCTCAAAAAAAGCCAGCTCTTAGCTTCCACTCGTTTCTTGACTACAGAAAAATAACAGAGCAATTCTTTTGTTGCAAAGACCTCTGGATTTTTGACACAATAGATTCCTATCTGAAATATCTACACACCTAATGGTACAGGTACTCCTAACTTAATGTCATCCCAGTTAACACTGTTTCGTTAGTACGTCACTGATCTATTAGAGAACATACTTGTTTGAAGTTGAGCAATGTTTGACTGTCGCCTGCTAGTAGGTAACTACTGTGACATAATTGGATTTGCTTAACATCATTTTGCTTAAAGTCACATTTTTAATATTGGATGGCACCCTTAAAAGGATCTTGTGGTACCCCAGATGCACTCATAAGTATACTAAAAGCCAGTGACTCTCAACCAGGGTGCCAGGGCTCAGGCTGGTTCCTGCTTGACCAATCCTCCACCCTACTTCCTGGGTCTTCTGCAAGTAAACACTGTAATATATAGTTTTTTTTTGAAACTGGGTGCCATTCAATTCACAAAAGTTATGGGGAGGGGAAGAGGGGGCTTCGAGTCCCAAAAGGTTGAGAACCACTTCTATAAGCTATCACAAAAGTAACTATTTCTTAAAATAAACAATATATTTTCTCTCCAAATCCTGCAACTCCATTATGCGTGGGAAAACCTTGTACAACAACTTGCATATCAGAATTTTAACCAGACTATGATGCAGACGCCTAGAAGATGAATGTTTCACAACCAGTGTTTTGGGTTAGAGTTTTCTTTTCTATTAAAAGTTAACAAGATTTACTGGGAAAGTGAAAAGACAGACCATTACCTGAGAACAGAGAAGACTCTTGCCATCTTGCCAATTGCACGGATTTTGTTTCTGATTATTTCTTTTCGTGCTGCAGCTGTACCTACTTTCAATGGAATAAGAGAGAGTCTCAAGCTCATGTGTATTTATGGGGGAACAACGTTATACAAATGTACTGCATTGAACACAACTTTGTAAGTTCAATAATGCTTGAGAGAAGTCCAACACCTAAATCATTTAAAGTATACACTGATTACAAAGTTAGCCTTGCTCACCAAGAGGCTGGTAAAACCATTCTTCCTTTGTGTTCACAAAATAAAAAGAAAAACCTCAAGATTTTCAAAATGATTTACCAAAGCTAGTGATTATCACTTAAACCACTATCTTGTAGTTTTCATGATTATCATTCTATTTTCATGAAATCTCTCTCATGAAATTCTTCAGTGACACCTGAATCAAATGACAGGCCTACCTAGCAAAATATAGCAGCAATGGAAATATGCAATCTACAAAGATCATGAATTTGGCACTAACTCTTTGGCAGACTTAGTTATCCAAAAGCAAGGCAAACTTTCCAATATAGACAAAGGGGAAAAAAAAAAAAAAAAAAAAAACCACACAAAAAAATTCAGTGGCAAACAATTGCAGAACTAACTAGCATATGTTAGTTTCCTTATCTTCCAAATTTAGGATCTAAATGCCCTACACTTAATGTGTATCACCTGAAGAAATAACAATTGCCGAAGAACAGAGAAAGGGATTATTTTAAGAGGAAATACCTGAAGCAGAAACAATAATTAACAAGAAGGTATGAGGATGGCGAAGAGAGCACCACACGTTTCTCTTTTTGATCTGCCACTATATAGGATCTCTCTTTTTATCAATATTTATTTTGATCTGGTTTTCTGAGGGCAGAGTAGTAAGGAAAGCAAGCCTTCAATTATTTTCATTTTTCCCTTGTCATCCTCCAAACAAAATAGATAGCTAGGGACAAATCAGTATCATCAAAGCTTCCGAAGGCTTCGTAGATGGTGTCACCACATTGGTTTTGGATTCCTTGACCTTGGCATGCGATTCAACGGCACTGGTCTACATACAAGAGACAGTATTCACCTCACTGGCAGAGGGAAGAAGCTCTTTTCTATGAAAATCATCAACTTGCTGAGGAGGGCTTTAAACTAGGCATGTCTGGGGGAGAGAGGGAAGATTCCACTCCTGTACATGAATCCTCCGACCAAGATGACCCAGGGGAGGGCCAAGATGACCCAGGGGAGGGCATTCATATAGGGGACATCCAGATGAGTACCAATGCCCCGAGATACTTGCAGAGGGACAGAAAACCTGAGGCAATTCAGGTGAACTCAGGCGTCTTTATGGGAATGCCAGAAGCATGGGCAATAACCAAGACGAACTAGCACTCCTTCTGGTAGATGAGAAATTTGATTGACTTCATTGGGTTGATGGAGACCTGGTGGGACAATACATATGATTGGGCAGTGAATATAGAATGAATAGGCTCTATAGGAAGGATAAGGCTGGGAAGAAGGGAGGAGGCGTGGCCCTCTATGTGAAAGAGTGGTACCTGTAGGTCATGTGCGACTGCAGGGAGAGGTCCCTTGAGACCCTCTGGGTTAAGATACAAGGGGACTCAGAAGAGGGAGACCTGATGGTGGGAGTCTACTATAGACCTCCTTATCAAGAAGAGGAGAGTGATCAGGCATTCTCCAGGGAATTGAGGCAGCCAGCACTAAAGACTTGTTTGTCATGGGTGACTTCAACTACCCTGACACCTGTTGGGAAGACCATTCAGCGAGCTCCAGCAAGTCAACCAACTTCTTGGCAGCTATCGACAACCTGTTCTTGACACAGACTGTGGAAAGGCCAACTAAGGGTAAAGCCACTTAGTGCTGACCAAAGGGGAGAATATGGTAGATGACCTGAAGATTGGAGGTACTCTGGGCGACAGTGATCATGATCTGATTAGGTTCACTGTCCACTGAAAGGCTGGGAATTCAGTTTCACAGTCAGTAGATCAGAAGCCCTAGACTTCATGAAGGCATACTTTAGTAAACACATGGGGAAGACAACATGAAATCAGTCCTGAACAGGTGAGGGTACTCTTAAAACATTTGGACGTTTTCAAGTCTGCTGGGCCAGATGACCTGCATCCAAGAGTCCTGAAAGAAGTGGCTGAGCTCATAGCAGGGCCTGTGGCAAAGCTGTTCAAAGAGTCGTGGAACTCAGGAGTGGTCCTGAACAACTGGAAGGGGGCTAACGTGGTACTGATCTTTAAGAAATGGAAAAGGGATGACCCTGCAAACTACAAACCAGTCAGTGTGACTTCAGTCCTGGGAAAAATCTTTGAAAAAATTGTTAAGGAGGCCATCACTCGCAAGCTCGTAACTGGTGGGGTATTAAGAGGCAACCAGCACAGCTCTGACAAAGGAAGGTCATGCCTGACAAACCTGGTGTCCTTTTATGACCAGGTAACTAACCAGCTGGACAACGGACATGAGGTAAACATCGTTTACCTAGACTTCAGTAAAACCTCTGATTCTGTTTCCCATGAGAATCTCTCAATCAAACTGGATGGTACTGGCCTAAACCAGTCTACAGTGAGGTGGGCTGGCAACTGGCTGAGAGGCCAATCCCAGAGAGCTGTAATCGACGGGATGGCCTCATCCTGGAGGACCTTCTCCAGTGGTGTCACCCAGGGATCAGTGCTTGGACCCATGCTCTTTAGCATCTTTATCAGTGACTTGGATAAGGGGGGTGGAAAGTGCAATGATTAAGTTTGCAGATGACACCAAGCTGTGGGGAAATGTGGGCACATCAGAGGATAAGGTAAGGATCCAGGATGACCTTGACAGACTAGTCCTATGGGCTGAATGCAATCAGATGAGGCTCAATAGGGGTAAGCGCTAGGTCCTTCATCTGGGTAGGAAGAACCTTCACCATAATTATAGAATGGGTGGTGGTCCACTGGCTGGCACTGCATCTGAAAGGGACCTGGAGGTGACAGTCTGCCAGAAGATGAATATGAGACAACATTGCAATTAAGTTGCCAGCAGGGCAAACAGAACGCTGGCGTGCATCAGAAGATGTGTTGCCAATAGATCCAGAGGTGCTCCTCCCCCTCTATTTGGTGTTGGGTGAGGCCACAGCTGGAGTACTGTGTCCAGTTCTGGGCACCACACTCCAGAAAGGATGTGAATAAGCTCAAAAGGGTACAAAGAAGGGCCACCCGTATGATCACGGGCCTGGAGGATATGCCCCATGAGGAGAGACTCTGGGAACTGGGCCTGTTCAGTGCGAGTAAGAGAAGACTGAGAGGTGGCTTGATAGCCACCCAGTTTTGGATATGATGCGGAGAATCTTGAGAAGGTCCAGAGAAGGGCCACTTGTATGGTCAGAGGTCTGCAGGCAAGGCCCTATGGGAAGAGACTGAAGGACCTAGATCTCTTCAGCCTCCGGAAGAGAAGGCTACGAGGTGAACTTGTGGCTGACTATAAATTAATCAAGGGAGGGCAGCAGGGAATAAAAGATGCTCTATATTCTAGGACACCCCCTGGAGTAACTAGGAACAATGACCACAAATTGACAGAGAGCAGATTTAGGTTGGACATTAGAAAGAACTTCTTCACAGTAAGGGTTGCCAGAATCTGGAATGGGCTTCCAAGAGAGGTGGTGCTTTCCCCTACCTTGGGGGTCTTCAAGAGGACACTGGACAAGCACCTAGATGGGGCTGTCTGACCCCAGCGCTCTTTCCTGCCCAGGGCAGGAGGTTGTACTCGATGACCCACTGAGGTCCCTTTCGACCCTAACATCTATAAATCTATGAATCTACAAGTATGTCAGAGGTGAACATCAAGATCTAGGTGAGCAACTCTTCAGAATGGCACCCCTTGGGAGGACAAGGACCAATGGGCAAGTTAATTGAGAAAAAATGTAGGCTGGACATAAGGAAAAACTTCTTTACCGTAAGGGTAACTAGAATCTGGAACACACTCCCAGCAGAGGTGGTGCAACCGCCATCCTTAGAAATGTTCAAGAGGAGGCTGGACAAGTACTTTGTTGAGCTTGTTTGAGACCAATTACTTCCTGCCCATGGCACGGGACCGGACTTGATCTTACAGGTCCCTTCTGGTCGTTTGATTCTATGATTCTAAGCTAAGGTCACTTCTAAACTCACCCTCAGCTCAGCAAATGGAATAATTTTGATTTTTAAAAGACCTTTTTTTAAACACTATAGACATGAAAAAAGTAAATTCAATGGAGATCTGGGGTGAGGGCTCCACTCCTGCCAAGTTGCTCTTTTACAGTGGATAAAAGGGCTGGGAATGGCAACTCTGACTAGGGGAGATTACTCAAATTCAGACACCTCCATTCCCCTAAAAAGCCCTAAAATAGAAAGTAGGCTGTGGGGACAGCTGCAATACACAGTAGCGAAGAGATTACAGGGTGTGCTATAACCCACAGTGGGAAGCTGCCATACCTTTAGGGCTGTCTAAAGGGGCAGATCCAAAGAGGGTATAGCAGCACAGCTACACTCTTCACCCCTCTGGATGTGCTGCAGTGGCGCTCAGTGGAAACCCTCTGGGCTCCCCTGCTTTTGCAGTTCTGGAGCCCAGAGGGTTAGTGTCGTCACTACTGTTCATCCGCTTCCTTCCCCTGATGCTGAATTTAGCAGGAAGGGAGAGGGTAAACAGCAGCAGCATTCACCCCGTGCTCCAGAGCCATGCAAAAGTAGGGACTCCATCCAGACACTGCCCCAAACACCTGGTGAGCCAAGACCTCACTGTTCATGCAGAGTGCCAGCAGGAACTCATGCCAACCATACAGTAAACTCAGAGCTCACTGCACATGCATGGCATAGCAAAGTAGGGGGACTGAACAGCCCCCTTCCCATTTCCTGGATCTGCAATCTGCTGTCTACATTCTGTTTTTGTAAGAGGAACAGTGCAGACTCTTACTCCTTGCTCCTAATGCCTGTGTAAGAAATTATCAGTCTGAAACATTAAGCAATATTTTCTATGATTCTATAGGTATTCTTCAAAAGACTCACTGAATCATTAAAAGAATCACAATAAAACATTTTCTTCTATGAACAGAACTTGTACAGATAAAATATTTTGCTAAGCAAATAATCACACAATTAGAAGAACGCCTCTGAATATAAGTATCTGCAGTAAGAGGTTTCTGGAAAGCATGTTGTAGCCACTATAGTTAACGGTCAATTTTAAATTTCTATAATACCATATTTGTAAAAACTGCACAATACATTTATTACAACTGTCATCTGATTAGCAAGAAGAAATTAAAAAGTACTAAACAAACAGGATTTTGGAACACTTGATAAATACATTTCATGCATAATTTTAAAGTAAAACGCTCACAGTAAAAGTTGTTATATAGGGCAAAACAGAAAACTGAACGCTCCCTATACATGCAGGTCCAAAGATAAAAATATTAGAATACGTAAAAGAATGAAATTCTATAAAAAGAGGAATGGAAGAAAGGAGAACATTTTTCATGCACAGAAAGACAGATGTCTTGGAATATGACTTCTGATGACACAAGATACCATTCTTATACATTTTTTTTTTAAATGGCAATAAAACCAAACAAAAATGTATAGAAGAAAATAAACATGTTTTGTACTCATATTCATACTATGAGATTCTATGAAGTCATATTTCAAAACATTAATACTCTGTCTGGTCTGTACCTTTTTTATTGCCATATATGAGTCGTTCTTCAGATGGAGAGTCCAGAAAAAAGGAAGTGAATGATGGAGAAAAGGTGAGCAGGACAGATTTAACTTGGCAGTGGTAATAAAGGATGAATGAAAAAGAAAAGTGAAGTAAATGGAAAACTGCCACACTTAACAAATGCATTTGTTGACTAAAACAACCGCAGATCTTGTTGAGTACATTTTACAACTTTGATAGCATGGAAAATTAGGCAAGTCTTTGGATAATCCATTTATGTAGGGAAGATTATGTGTAGACAGTATATAGGTGGAATTAAGAGATAGGCATCAAGCAAAGAAACTGTTGAAGGAGATGGGGAAATAAGTATTAAAAAAAAGAATTAAAAAAAGTTCAAGTGCTGTACTAGCAAGGGAGCATATACAATAAACTGATGGTAGAGGTTATGCTGGACAGCCAAAAAAAGCCTGTCATCTCACTGTACATAATTTTAATCTCATATATAACCCCTTGATCTCACAAATACTTATGCATGTGACAAACCACTTCAAACACAATAATATTATTTAAAAACAATATAAGCTTAAGTAGTGTTGAAGTGATGTTGTAGCCATGATGATCCAGGAACTATGTGAGAGGCAAGGATTTGTGTGAGCAATATCTTTTATTGGAACAACAGCATGGTTTGGATAGACTTGGACAAGTTTGAGAATGCAACAAACAAAACAAAAAAATATATACCAGAACATAAATATGTTCTATATTAGTATTCACACTACTAGATTCTACAAAGTCATATTTCACAATATTAGTACTCTGTCTAGTCTATACCTTTTTTGTTGCCACGTACGAGTCTTTCTTCAGATAGAGCCCAGAACAATTATGAAGAAAAATGCATTGCATTTGATAGCTTGTCTAAGTCTGTCCCAACCATGCAGGTGGTTTCATAATATATCACCCACAGAAATCTTTGCCTATTGCAGTACACACTTAAGTACTTGCAAGATCAAGCTGAAAGGCAACATTTTTCTTTTTCTTGTTACAGGAAAGTTCAGGTGGCTTTATGGATAGTCAAGCCCTTCAAAATTAAAATGCATAGCTTTTTTGCAACAATATGGTTTCTCTTACACTATTTTAATAGTAATTAAATACTAATTCAATATGAAATGCTTGCACTCAAATATGGAAACTGTGCAAATAGAGGTGCTTTTTCTTTAGTATTACTTTTTGCTTATCAAAGTGTGTTCTTAAAAAACCCAAACCCTCAAGTCAAATCAATTCCATTCTTTGGATGAAATAAATCTTGAGAATTTTTTTAAAGATTGTATTAAAAGATTTTGTTAAACAGTAAATAATGTAAAATAATGATGGTATTATACTGTAAGACATGGCATCTTACTACTGCAAAAAAACTCTTAAGGATTCAGTGCACTGCTACAGTTGAGGACATCAGACTCTACATACTGAAGATTTTTGCAATTGGTAAGGCTATATGTTGTATAGTTCATACACACACATACACATACACACACACACACACACATACACACACACACACACACACATACACACACACACACACATACACACACACACACATATACACACACACACACACACATATACACACACACACACACACATATACACACACACACACACACATATACACACACACACACACACATATACACACACACACACACACATATACACACACACACACACACATATACACACACACACACACACATATACACACACACACACACACATATACACACACACACACACACATATACACACACACACACA